CTAGGGAAACGCGTTTCGGACAAAATCTCTTTCCAAAGCGGTTACTATCGGAGATCGTGCAACCGCCTAACTGGGCGTTATCTCCTGGACGGTTGAGAGAAAGAGAGAGAAAATTTCTGGAGAAGAGCGTGCCGTTCGTATCGTTTATTTTTATACGGTCAGTCATTTATTATCTCAACTTCTTTCTTAAATTATTAATTGCAAGGATGATTCGATAATTATCAGCAAATGTGTAGTGATATTTTTTATTGTATTTGACTGTACTCTTAAATACTTGATGTCATCGTTAATCTTCAGATCGTAGTTGTACAGATTTTAATATGCTAGTTTTCTTTTTTTTTTTTTTAATCAGAACTTAGTTTTTTCTTTTTTTTTTTTGTTTTTGTCAGAAAAATAACACTGATCCTACTATTTCGTATTTGTGTGTTGTTATTCAATTTTCATGATTTGAAAGAAAATAGTATGAGGAACTTTCAGTACAATATCTCTCTCGATCTAACATGTATGAATTTGTAACGAATATGATGATTCGAATTTTAACCATCTCGACGCAGTGTAACAGTGAGTATGTCTAATGATGAGATCAAGTTCAAAACTACTGTTACAAAACTAAATTGAATCCAGTACGAAGCTTCAATTGTGCTTGTAAAGTACTCGGATAATACACGCTGGTAACGAACCTCAATGCGTTTGCTATATGCGCTTACAAGTACTTTGCAGTTTGAATGAATTGAATCTTTCAGAAGGAGTAATCGAACCCTGAAAGTTCGTACTAAAGTAGATTATCACAAGCTTATTACAGGTTGCAAACTAAGCGATGGCCCGTTGCCATCGCACAATTACCATGGAACCGGTTATATTGGACTAACATCTATTTTTTTTTTTTTTTGCCAAAAACAAATCATTAATAAACGTTATCGCAATAACATTAGCAATTAATAATAGTAATTAATAAACATTGAACACGATAAACGTAATAAATAATTTTCTATTGGATTAAAATCTGATATACCTGTGATCTATTAATATTATGTTAACAATAATTGCAATAGTGTAATTAACGGTATTGCATTAATTTAATTACTTTCTATCCTCCGTTTACAATATCAGGATATTGAAATTATATTTATGTACGTGCAAACCAGAGATTTGATTATGTTTCGTTCAAATATGTCTCGATTTTATTCTTTATTATCAAGGTACTTGCAAAAGGTTCAGATATAACCCGAAGATTCGAAGATTCGATTGCATTTTACTTTCTTGAGTAAGAGATTCGGACATTGTTTATATCAAGGCTTCTCCGTCCGAGAAAAACATATTCGCGACCCTGAGTACAGAGGTGTAAAATAAACTAGGAATCGCGAAGGAAATTTATTCGAAAAGAATTTTATCATGCGTCAAAGACAAAACTAATTTTCTACTTTTGTTAAAATTTCTGCGCCTTTCGAATTTAGTTATCCTATCACACTTCGAGAAGTCCTGGTTTATATATGATTGATATTATATCTAGCAGATGTACGTTTGATCCCACATCACTAGATATACTGTGATTCTACGTCAAGAAATAAGAGAAAAATTTGGTATAACATTTTTTCATCTGGGGCTCGGTTTTCGAGAAAATCGACTTTGATTTCGAGAAACTCGACTAAAGTTTGTTCATCTTTGTGAACGATTTAGTTGTCTATTCTTCTACCGCTGTCTCCACATCGGAGATAGTGTTTACAAAAATTATTTATTGTATGGTTAACGCAGTACAAAGTGTTCCTACTGATAATTAATTTTTTATTCCTTATTGCTACTTTCTATCGCAATACTACAATACAGTACACTATTACAGGTATTGTTGAAAATGTCCTCGTCGTTGCTACATATACAAGTTTGCTCGACGAATTGATGATATCTGAACAGAATGTAAGCTGATATCTCGAATTCCTCCATAATCCTTTGCTTCGAACCTGTAATATTTGAAGTATTGTCTTTATAAACTTGTTCTTTGATATGCCCCCGTAAAAAAAAAAAAAAAAAAAACAAACATCTTGGTATCCAACACGAATACGTTTGATTTACAAAATGTTTAACCTCCCTGTAATGGAAAATCATACTCCTTACAGCAGCTAAAGATACATTCTCTAACAACGAAGGCAATTCATTGTTAGGCGTAGAAACTCCAAATATTCTGTTCTTCAGATATCAGCAATATACCGCGTAGTGTAGTTCTAGTTTCTTCTCGTTCGTTGAGTCACAAGGAGAGGGGAATCACAGTTTTGCCCGACGCACATGTGCGTCGTCGTCCTCTCTCCTCTCGTAACACGTGCAGCCCGGGTTGCAGCTCACGTTCCGCACGTGCGTCAAAGAAAGCGTACGTATACCCGCCGGGACCCGGGGTCCCTAGGTAACGATGGTAAACCAGGCCGTGGGATCCTTCTGATTTCCATATCGTAATTAATTTCTCATTTAGCCGGTGCACCGCATTAATTATACGTCCCACGGCGACGCTCCGACCATACATATCTAATTAGTTTGGTTTCATCCAGGACTTATAAAGTGCACGCTCTATAGACCCCCGACTAATCTGTTAAATCCCCGTTGCAAACTCTCACAATTCAGCGGCCCTCTTACCACGTGCTTGCTTCTCTCCTCGGCTCTCTCCTCTTATGATCGCGGGATCGTAACGTTTGCCCTCCGGAGAGGAGAAAGAACCGGCCGATGTCTCCGTGGATCTCTAATCCCCGCTCTTTTCAATTCCCCGTCTCTTATAATTCATTCGGTTCATACTTTCGTTCGTCTCTTTAATTTCTTCATTGTTCAACAATCTAATGGGGGTCCGGATCAGTAAGATCCGCAAAGAAAGTGATACCAAATATAGCATTAATCATAACGTGAGAACGTTAGACAAAGTGATTTTGAAAGACACTGTGTTATCACGAAAGAAAGTTCTCTTTTTTCCCCCTTACATTTTTCAGAAATTGCTTGGACTCTATCGAGCTAGCCAAACTTGACTTAGTCTCTGTTTTGCTAATTTTTGCTCAGTTTGTTAATTTATTGTAACTTTCCTTTGCGTCAAAGGATTTCAATCCGAATGAAAGAAATTAAAAATTATTTTAGCTAGTCAGCTCCGAAGTATAAAATAGTTTAGTGATTAACAAGTAGTTAATGATTAATTAGTTAATAAGAATATGTCTTTCTTGGTTGGGACACGTAGAAATTAGTTTAGAGTTTAATGGAGCAGAACAGTTTTGATCAATCATCATTTTACGTAGGAAAGAAAAGAAGGGATCGTGCTCGACTTTCAAGTAATTTTGGTTTCGAAGCCGACGTTCTGGAACCAATTTCAAAAGCCACGAATCTACGAATTTAAAAGCTACGAAATTATATCGTACTCTCTCAAGTGCTCTTTCATTTCGAATTCATCACGCACGTATACCGGACCGAATAATTAAAGCACGTTCTCGTTTGTGCCATAGTCCGGCTAATTTTTAAGATACGGCACAACAGTTTCATAGCTTCTGAATTTTTAAAATCGCGAGAGAAACATTTAATGAATCTCCGTCGCCCCTGAAAGTTTTTAACGAATTTTTGCTCGTTCTTCCGAAAGGAAATGTGTCACTACTCGTGCCACGTATTATAGCGTGTATTATATATATAAAAAAAAGAGAGAGAGAGAGAGAGTAACAGTGGCACAATAAGTTTCGTTGAATTCATTCTCGAAATGCGCAGCTATCCATTAAACATTAATTTTGATGTCTTGCTGTTTGTACGAAAACGAGCAAATAAATTGGCGAAAAAGTTCCTCCGTAATTTGTACGAGTAGTTTCTCTATTTTCTCGAGCGACCTGCCCACCGCGCCTCGTTTGCACAGCGCGATGAGTAGAAGAGAACATCCGTACGAGGCACGCTCGTGCACAACCATTTTAACAAATTGTTCCGGAGTTTCGTTTTGGCGAAACGTGGATAGAGCCGCATTCGCGAAATCAAGCACCGCGGTTTTCTTCAAAGTGCTAACGATACGCTCGCTTGAAAGTCGACAGTTTCTCTATGTACGGAGTATCAGAGTAAACACGTCTCATTCTCTCGCGTATGCAGTTTTCTTGCGAGATATATTTTTCTGCGAGAGCAAATGATGCGATTAGCGAAATCATTAATAATTCATCACGTACGAAACGTTAGTAGACGGTAGCAATTTCGAATGACAATGCAGATGATATAAAAATTCAAGAATCAAAAATTTTCTGATATACGAGGATTTTTCGAACAGAGTGTAAAATATTTTTAACGATTCAAAGGCAAATGCGACGTCACTCGATAACGTTCCAAAGAATGTTTCGTAATTTTTCCAATGACGTCTCGCTATTGAATGCAGATGAACTTCTTGCGCTGGAATGACGTGCCACGCGGGTCTTCTCTTCCAAAATTGTAATATTTTCTCAGTTTCAAGTATATATTTAAGTCAAACAAAATAGACAAAAACGAATAATAAATTTATTACTTCTCAATAATTTTTATCCAGTGATATCATACCGACGAGCTCGAAAAGAAAGCAACGAATTATCGTACACAGTTTGGTCACTCGTTATGGTCCGCAATCAGTTGATGTTAATCTTAACCTCTTGCGCTGGAACGACGTGCCACGCACGTCGAGAATTTCTTCTCCCAAAATTGCAGTATTTTCCCAGTTCTAAGTATATTTAAGTATAACCCAGGCAAAACAACTAATAAATTTATTACTTTTCAATAATTTCCATCGAACTCAAAAAGATATACCGACGAGTTCAAAAAGAAAGCGACGAATTATTGTATATACGGTTTGGTCACTCGTTATGGTCCGCAATCAGCGCAAGTGGTTAAGCACTGGGAGTTACAAGTGTGTCGATATTTTTCCAACTCTTGAATATAGAAATATGTATCGTTTGTTCTCATGAAGCTAAGTGGATCAACACTCTCTTTTGACCCATCGTAGCGACAAAATTGGACGAACATTTTCAAGAAGAAAAAGTACTCACTCGGATGATCCGGCTCGGTGTTGTTCGCATCTTCTTGCATAGACGTAGTTTTTTTCGACTGTGCGTTGGCAAAGGTCGATAGCTCGATGCACGTCACTGCGATCAATATCCACAGCATGCTGATGAGCGTCTCTTGACAATTTCACCCTCGAACCATCCTAACGACGTTCACGTCTTGTACTCCGAGCGAGGCCCCCGGGATCTCAGACACTCTCGTCTATCAACAGAACAGGGCACAGTTACCTAATCGTGTTGATCGTCGGACGTTCGTTTGTTCGATCTTTTCGCAACACTCGCTCGACTAAATGTACGGCTATAGTTATATGTGTTGGAAAATGTTGGTAAATCGTCCCTCCATTTACGTGGTGAATTGTAACGCGGCACTTTTTCAATTTACGTGTCAGGCGTAATTCAGGAAATACATTGGAGCAAATGACAAGTTGGAAAAAATTAACATTAACTTAATGAAAATGAAGTCGAATTTCTAAATATTTCAAGGCGAGGAGGATACGAGGATTTGACGAGTTTATGACAATCAAAATTGTTTCGAATTCACAGTAGTGATAGGGACAATCGAATAAAATTTACTTTTGTTTATTATTTCCTTTTTTTTTTTTGTTAACCTATGTGAAATAAATACGTATTTCTATAAACTTGTACCAGCTTCTCTTTCCAATATTTTGTTTCCTTTGACAGATTCTGTGCGATTTTCATTCGCGTGAAACGAATCCACGTGGAACGGATACCCCGCGTAAATGGAGGGACAGTTTATGAGACACCTAAGTTTCATTAGCAGTGTTGATGAGATACTAGTTTGGAATCGAACATTCGTTAACAAGATGTAGTTTCAATCATGTTAAATCAAACTGAATATGGTCAGTGTCAGACACATGCGTGCAATATGGTGTAATATATTCATCATCCATGTAGCTACTCACGAAAGTGTTCAACCACTTGTGGAAATTTTTCATTGATATATTAAATATGTTGTTATCAGTACTGTCGCGATAATATTGCGTCAGGTATAAAATAAAATAAATCTGTAAATGCAATAGAAGTTGCAAGATATTTAACAGTTAGAAGTACAGGTATATTTCATACACATGAAAGAAATCACTCGTCGATCGCAAAATTATTATATATTATAATACGTATACGATATATTACGTATGTTGTTATCAGTACTGTCGCGATAATATTGAATCAGGTATAAAATAAAATAAATCTGTAAATGTAATAGAAGTTGCAAGATATTTAACAGTTATATTTCATACATATAAAAGAAATCACTCGTCGATCGCAAAATTATTTATATATACTTGTGTAGATGTAATCTATTTATTCGACTGAGTCACCTTTAACACTCATTACTAACACTCATTGTATCGTGCATATTACTGAATACACGTTTCCGATAAATTTCTTGTAATTTCCGTCTACATTTTCAGATTGGTTTCAAATTGTACCAATGTAATTGTAATAATCGTCTCTCGTTACATTGTTAATGAAATTACAAAATGTTTCATGTAACGCACAAAATATCAATAAACGATATTCAGTACATGTTACCGCAATACGCGAATACTTTTCACAGGAAGGAAGTTTCATTTGATTTCATTTAAATTGCATTCAAACGTCGGATCAATCGAAAAGTTATTGTTAATCACAGAACGGATGAGATATCTTGAATTTCCCATGTATCGGTCAGTTATGCAATACAAGTAATGCAATGACATACGGTTGGTAATTTGAATTAATTTTTACCGTTTAAATATGGATAGTGGCAAAGCAGTCAATGATATTATAATATTTACAGACAGTTTGTATACAAACAATAATGAAAATACGTAAATTTGCATTACTCGCTACATTCGTAAACTTTGTGCGGGTTCCACTTCACTTGCTTGAATATTGTGCTAATTGAGGTGTCGTATCTTGAAAAATTTTTAATACGTGAACATTTACGATTGAAAAGAAGAATGTATAATTTTAAAACATTTGCTGGAAATAAATGTTCAACGTGACAAGGATTTTCAATTACTAACAAATTGCAGATAATTTGAAAATAACTTTAAATTTAAAATAATTTAATAAGTTAGCACTGTATAGTTATATATTATATAGTACTAACTTATTAATATATAACTTAGTAACTTAGTACTATAACTTAATAGTATAGTAACTTACTACTATAATACTTCGTACTATATAGTTATATATTATATAGTACTAACTTATTAATATATAACTATATAATACTAACTTATTACATAACTTAGTGCTATAGCAATAAGTTAGTACTGTATAGTACTATATATTAAGAATTTGATGATTTTAAATTTAAATGTTTCTTGAATTTAAATAGTTTTTACATTTAAGTAGATTTTAAAATAGTTCAAAAATATTTGGCGCGGAAATAGCCCCCACTGGGTATAGTTGCAGCAATAAAGTGTCTGGGCAATGTGTTAACGGCGCGAGTTTCATCAAGATGTAAACCACGAGGGAGACGACGAAGAGGGGTCGAGCGAAAGCAAGGAGAGATCAAAAGTACCTCTGGAATTAATAACAACACGGTTGCCAGCGTTTCGGTGAAAATCGAATTATTGCGAATCGTGGTGGAACGAGGAACCGTGGGAGAAGGAAGGGAAGGCCGAATTCAATTTCTTCCGGTTGGTTTAGCACGCGACTGCTGCTCGTCATCGACTCGTTGCTAGATTTAATCGAAGATTCGTCCCTGTTCGACATCTCTTCTTCCGAGTCATTATGTAAGCCAACTGCGCGCTGACCGTTTCCTCGTGTTTTCTCGACAAACGAGCGAACAGAACGTCCCGCGTTGATGACGGTTTCTCGACACTTTCGATCGCTTCGAAATCGTAGGCAGGGACTCGCGTAATTGACTCGAGAAAATTGCAAACAAAGTGCAATTGCCGTTTTTCTCCTCGACGTTTGTCACACTCCGCGATCGAATAACCAGCGTGTTCGTTCAACGCGAACGAAATTTTACACGATGAATTTTTCAAAAATATCGCGTTACAACAAGGACGTGTTTTTCATTTTGCAGCATTATCCCGGGTTATTTGAAGTCTTTGTTATCGACGGTGTTCATTTCATTTCCAAGTACGGCAGCTAAACAGAAATTATTAAAATTAACATGTTGATTGTCGCTTTATAGATTAGCTGTGTTTTAAATGTGTTTTAAACACGAAGAGATTATTATGCAGTAACTTTAAACTAATTAATTTCTCGGAAATAGAAGTGTAACGTCAGTATTGTCTAGTTGTAAAATTCCTGAACTGAATAACTTAACTAGGATGTTGCAATTTTCGTCGTAAAACCGAGAATTTTTTAACCCTCGGTTGCTATCGCAGATCTCGGCATAAATAATTGCATTTTATATTTTCTTCTACTAACTTCTGTTTCGTGTTTTTTCTTGCGACAAAGGCCATCAGATGCAAATAAATCTGAACCTAAATTCTAAACCATCGCAATTATCTATAATCCACTTACTCCAATCGGTGGTTTAATGTATACTTGAATTAATGTATATTGAATAGGTTAATTCCCAAATTGATAGGAGTGAATAATCGTCAGAATGTTCGACGCGCGGCGATGTGCACGTGAAAATTGTGGAATAAAAATTTGTCGCGAGACGCTCGTGCTTCGCAGGAAATTGAATTTCGAAATTTGTCAAGTACACGCGTGTATCGTGGGAATTTTTAACGAAACGTATATTCAAAGTTTGTTTCCTTGAAAACAAAGCCGCCAAATGGGAAAATGTTATTTTGCAATTTATGCAGATTATTCTCGTGTCGATTGCTCGCTTCTCTGCAGCCACGAAATTGCTCGGTATTTTTTAACAACTCTTTTCACTCGCCCGCGAACTTACGTGACTAATAATCGTACGAATAACACAATAAAAAGAAAACAAAACTATAGGTAAGAGAAAACTTTAAATGAAAATTTTTAAACGAAGAAATATTATTCCCTCTCTCCTGTTTATTTATGCATCCCCAGTAGAATCGCCACGAGGATGACTTGATCGTTGAAATCACGTTCGAAGACGATCACATCCCTTTCTCGAAATGAATAAATTGACCCTTTCTTAGTCAGTCGCTCGGGGAATGCTTAAGAAAATTATTACTTTGCGATTATTTTTCACGAAAGGACGGATCCAAGATCAATCGTTTACAAAGATTGCTTTCAGATTGATTGCCTCACGAGTTTTCGTACAGTGAGAGAGAGCAATATTGAGCTCAGCCACGCGGACCGAGATTTAAAGCTACGTACATACGCAAACATATTCGCAAGCAAATAGGGTCGTGATCCTCCGTCCGAGGATTCCCAGGGCACCCGAGTTTATGATTTACGAAGCGATAGTTTCAATCGTGGCACGCGCGATCCGCAACGAGAAACGAGAAACGATCCGGCGCCGGGTTCGAATTCGATTTCCGTGATCGGCATTATCGGTGCCATTGCCGTTGCTGTTGCTGTTTGCCCGACATTCACGGAACGACTCACGTTCACTGTCTACGACACTTTCTAAGTACTTTTTACTTTGTTCGCCCTTTCCCCTTCCGGGACATGCCTCGGCGTGAAACCTGCGAGAAGAGGGAAGCCAAGCGTTGCTCGCGTCAACCAACGGGACAAGAGGGAGGAGTTGTCTTTCTCATGTGTTCCACATCGGGCACACGGAACTTACTTCTCTCTATTTCCGCGCTGAACTATCGCACGCCGAATACGTGACCCGAGGATCTGTCCGCTGGAAATGCATGTTCGACAAAATAGGGAGACTTTATCGTCCACTTGATTCGCGTTACGATTCCAGCCGGAAGCTTGCAACTTCCGTCGAGAGAACACAACGAGGGTGTGTCTTTCTTTTCTCCAAGGGGAACTCGCGCGAGTCCCGAGGATGTAGGTAAGCTAGGTCGAGGAATAATTCACGTCCGGGTTAATCGAAAAACGATTCCCCCCCGTCCGCGCGAGTTCCGCGGGAATTCGTAAATTTCCTCTAGCCAATGAAGGACGCGAATGGAGGAGCATAGCTTGGTGGAACGCACAGAGACATTAGGCGACTGGTTGTATATTGTCGCGGAATATCGTTCGATAGATAACGGCGGGGACACACACACTTTGCCTAGTCTTTTCGGGGCTGTTAAACGGCCATTAGCCGGAGCACCGAAGCCGTAGTTGAATGGGAGGCCTTCGGATTTCTAAAGGTTCATCGGCGTCAAAGATCGACAATTATCCTGGGACGAGTTCATTTTTCAAGCCGAAGGGAGAAAAACCCTGCCTCCTTAGGTTTAGGTAGCAGCGAACGAGTAACGAACTTGTCTTTAACCGCGTTGCGCTGCGGACCATAACGAGTGACGATAATTCGCCTTTGAACTCGTCGGTACGAGTTATATCACTGGATAGGAAATCATTGCGCGGCAACAGATTTATTATTTAATATCGAACATAGTTAAAACTGAGGAAATGTTACAATTTTGGAAGAAAAGAAATTCCTCGACCTTGCGTCGCTTGTCATTTTCCAGCGCAACCAGATTAATCACGTTCGTGGAAGTGATCCTCCGCGGTAAACGGAGAAAATTTCGCGGAGGCTGGGAAATTAACCCAGTTGGAAAGAATCGTCGAAGTGCGCCTCCGAACGTTCCAGGGGATTCCACGTGGGTGTTATTCCTAAGCAACTCTCGGTCGGTCGTTTCCGACTGGGAGGACTCCGCGAGCCATTATAAATTATAATGGAGAGCTTCGTTTCCTCGAGCACGCGTGTAGGTGCAGGTAGTTGTACGTACCGCGTTTTTCCTCGGGTGAACTTTGGCTGCGCGGGCAGGAAGCGGGGGGAAGGCTTGGAGCCCGTGCCGTAGCGGCATATTTCCGAAGTTTGGAATAGGCAGTTACTTGTACTTTCGTTCATCAAGCGCGCTCTATTCTCCAAGTTTGCCACCGTAAAGCCATTCCCGAAGAGACCCCACCCTCCGTCCCTCGTTTTAAGAGTTGAAGTTCCATCCCCCGTGCAATTTTCCGCGTCATTCCCGGCACGCCTGATACTCGCGTCGCGTCGCGTCGCGAGAACGCTCGTTCGGCCCCGAAACTTGCTTTATTAATACTTTTACTCGGATGCCGGCGAACTTTGCGTAAACCTCAGCTTCGACTGGCGGTGAACAAAAAAAGGAAGGAATTAGTTTCAATTTTGAACGGGTGGTTGCGTGTTACGACGACGTCATTAACTTGGCAGGTGGTAGATCGTCGAGCAGGGATTACGATAAACAGAGACGGATGGAGAGGAGTTATCCGAACAAGTGTGCACGATGATTGTCGCTGGCCGCATCGAAACGGCTGAAGCGTATTATTATTCTTTTTTTTTTTTTTTCCTTTTTTAATCGACCAGCCGCCGACGAATCTCGAAACGACTGGGCACAACGTTCATCGGGAACCCACCCTCGGTGCGCGATCGAAAAATAGAAATAAAATTCGAGCAAGCGTAATTCGCGATATCGTTTCTGTCGCGCTCTCGTTGACAAGGATACAGCGCGCCCGTTGATAAATGCTCGGACAATTCGTCGACATTTCGACAAAAA